TATATATATACATCCCCTCTATTTCACTCGTGTTTTTCATGAATGGGAGAGGGTGGAGAGGGGCAGAGGCCTATTCTGCATTAAGAAGTAATTTCTGATCCATCATATTCAAGTAACAGATTAATACAAATTAAAACCGTATTTATAAGCAAACATAATAAAAGTCTCAATAACTGAACTGAAACAAGCGGACAGATAATATTCTAATCATTTTTTAGTACAACTGAACATAAATTCCTTCGTGTCCCTGGTCTGAACATTTATATATGACAATCTATACTGAGTACTTAAGACGATGACCCGCTAAATACACATATAATCATGTGTACGACTGCCAAGTGAGAAAGTTGATAATTGATATAACATCGAGTATCTTTGGTCTAAAGCAAATGTCATAGCGTGGGTAGGCCCCCGATTAACAGGGACCAAGCTGCCGTACAAAAAGTATATGAATTATGCGAACCTGGTCGTAAAAAATAAGTACTGCTAATTGTGTAATTGAAAACTCTGCTTGGAGTAAATTGCTCAAAGGCCATATTGAATGACTGTAGATACCTCAAAAGGTGGTGGCAAAGGGGGAGTGTGGGGATTGTATGGCTCTGCTACTGGAATGGCTAAATGATTGACTGATCTAATAACAGGGTTGATTAGGCATTCCGCTATTACGACAGCATCAACAGGACACAAGAGTTCCAGTGCCATGTAAAAGTCGGACAAAATACGTTGTTAGTAGTCACTATATCTCACGCTTTCAAAGTTACCCCCCTCCCTTTTCCCCCATAATATCTCCGTTTTTCGTTCCTCATTAAGACACTTTGCACGAGTGCTCTCTGTATGAAACCTAAATTTCTTATAATAAAATGTTCAATAAAATCGGGTTTGTTCAAATTTATATAATATTTTTATAATTGTTAAAAAGAAATATTTTGTTTCGTTTGTGAAATAATACAGATCTAAATCTAGCTTTTAACAAAAGTGTTGTTCTCTTCCAAGACAAAAGCACGACATGACATGATAAGCAACGATAATAATATGATTAAAAATTAAACGTTTCACCCTCTACATTTCTTGCACCATATGGCAAAATGGAAACATGAAGTAAACTCCGTTGTTTTTAATACAAGTTGTACAGTATTGGCAACACAATAAGGTCACATAAGTGCCGAAGATTAAAAGTGTTACACGAGTGCATAAAGCACAAAAAGCGAAAGGAGGAGAGATGAGGACAATTGATGTTTGACAGAAAAGAATGAGCAAACCTCACTAGAAAACCCGCAAACCACCCTTTAAGCTACGTTGAACATATAGCAATAGCAATGTCACAAAGGATACACAAGATTTTAGTCAATTTATTGTTCTAATAACATTGTTTTGCTTAATGTTATTTGCGTTATTCTAACTTGCATTCACCTACTATTCAGCTACGAATGTAGTATACATGTACTTTTCAAAATGCGACAACAACAATACATTCCAAGTTTTCATAGAGATCAACTATTTTGCCCTATTGGAAATAATATAACAACTAATCTAAGTGGCGTTTGTAGCCTTGTGGTTAAGCGACCGGATCCGTAATCGTGATATTGCGGGTTCGGAGGTTCGAGCCTCAGATTGGTCCAACGCTGTGTCCTTGGGAAAGACACTTTACATCAATTTCTTATTTGGATCCGTCCTTTCAGAGATAGACGCTAAACTCGGAGGTCATGCCTTTTAAATAATCTAATAGTTTTGCGGGGCATTAAACCTATACCATTTCACCATTCTCTTTTTCAACTGAAGCCAAGTGGGAGTTCCATGTTGATCGACTTGAATTCTCCAAGTTAATTTAATCTACAGTTTAGGGTATCTAACATGGTTCATGATATTTGGCTCAGGGCGCATTTACCTTTAAAAGAAAACCCTGTTCACTTCGTCAGCACTCTTCGTAGTATTCATTTTTACCTGAAATAGTAGCAGCTTGTGATTTTTCTTCCGTTGCTGAGGAGTTCAACACTTCTGACAGCTGCCTTTCTTTTTATGCTTGTCTTGTCAATGGTAATTAGCCAAGAGGATCTGCCCCATCAAACTGGGTTGATTCTGCCCAGAAACGTCTCATATTATTATTTTCTCGCATTTACGTGTTCAAATACTGTGGGAAAAGTACGTTTGCATAAACCACAAAATTTTAATTGCTATTGTTTTTTTAGCTTCAGCCCTACGCACGTGTGGCTGACAGTTTACGATTATTTCCAGATATCTGTTCTCATTGTTGTATTAAGCAAAACTAATTTGAATACAGTATATTCGTCAACCTTCAATGCAACTGCTCACCGCTACCCCAACCCCGCTCTAATCCAGACAAGACTCTGGCAGATTTAATAAAATAAATGATAACCCAAATCATAGTGTATTCTACGATTAGAAAGAAGCCGGCAACGACAGTAAAGCAAGGGATCGAATTACATGTAACTAATCGTGAAGGACCCAGACCTACATCTGAATCCATGCTGGGTCAGTGTAAGTGATAGCCCCTGCAACACTCATAAATCTAGTCCCTTAATTAATTTGGTCTATTCAACATCTCAATTTGTGGCCACAATTAAGGTCTGTATCAGTTATTTTCTAAGAAATCATCTCTAAAGGCGCTTTCAAGCACTGTTTAAACACTGGATTTTTTCGATAAATAACTCCAAAGATGAAAGCACAAGAGTATAACGTACATAACAATATTATTATAGCTTATTTGAGAGCCATCGTTTGCTGCAAACATTTGCATTTTGTTTTGGTTTGCGCTCCCACATGTCAGCAGCTTGTTGTCTCCCATGTACGTCATGGTAGGCTTGTTTAGTCACTCATTCATTGAAGGTTTAAAAAATGA